GAAACCAACAAACCATAAAGCTCATCATATTCTTTGGAGTCGGAAAATTATTTCTACTAGTCGGATAAGTCTTGCAGTACATTGTGTACTCGTGGTTTATTTACCCATGTTGTAGGTAATGCATGAGGAGTACCATTGTGTGAAGGATTCTTCGGTAAGCACTGCATTTAAATCCTTGCGTATCACCGATAGTCATTTTTTCGATGTTTATCTTTATTCACTGCATTTATTATTCCGCACTCGACATTTGGTAATGTAATAATGTAATTTTAAGAACTTCAAATGTATGAAATGGATAAGTATTGTAACTCGTTCTTATTATTGGATCATTGGAGAAAATGTGGATCTTTTCGCTCTCCCTCGGGGTGTTACCGACTTGATACCGTCTGTTGTAGCTTGCTTTTGGGGTGCTTAGCGTCCGGGTGGAAGACGAGCGCCTCCGTAAATACGTTATTTCGCACGGTTACGCCACATAAGGTTTATGTTCTCGAGCCATGGTTGATAAGGTTGGTGATCCAATATATAGGCTCCGATTCGCTTGGAGAAATTTAGAGAAATGAAAAGAATTTGTGAGAGAAAATCAGCTATGAATAGTAACTTTCATCGTGAACAATGAAATTTCTGTGATTTTTGCACCAAATTTAACGGGGCCACAAGTGAGGTGTATCATGTCGGGGTTTTGGGAGGAGTTGGTAAGGTTTTTGGGTTTAAAGGGTTATTTTGAAAAGTTCAAGTTGAAATGACCGTTGGGTTATGACAACTAACCATCGAAAGTTTTCTAGGACTAATGAACACATACAAGGTCCATGATTTAGGGCCTATTTAGCGTAACTTAGCTTCCTTGGTGAAGCAATTTTTTTAGCGTTAGCTCTAAAAAACAGTTTTATTTAGTGGTGGTGAATATGTTTTTGTGAACCGCTTGAGGAAACAACTTCTCATGATTGTTGGAAAGTGTGAAAATACCTATAATTCCTTTTTTATTTTCTTTATTTCTTTTATCTCTTTATATCTCTCACCTCCATCGCTCGCATGTCGGCCCCTAATCTGGCGTGGCATGCCCGGTGAGCTCACGCCCATGTGTGGCACCGTGACTCAACAGTGAGCACCCACATGGATCGACGAGTGCTCCAATGAGCACGCCACATTCACCCCTCCCCACGTGGCTAGGCGCCGCGGACGGGCGGGTTGGCCCCTGGGCGAAGCGCATCATCTCCTCCTTAAACTTGCGTGACTGCAAGCATCGACAGCCCCCACGGCGACCTCCACTCGCTAGTGGTGGCAGAGTTAGCCATGGTCATGGTGGGGTCCACAGATCAAGACGAAGTTGAGAGAAGCTAGTTTTTTAGCTTTTCTCTCAGCAAGAATCACGGAGCTTATTCCCGAAAAGACGAGGTGTGTGGAAGGCCTAATTGCTAAAGTTGTAAAACAACTCTTGAGCAGTTTTTGAAGTTGCGTCAAATGACCTCTTAAGTTTGCGAGGAAACCAGACCAACTAAGAGCATCTTTGATAGTTTCCAAAATAAGAATGGATAAACCAATAAGTTTTCCAAATGGCTAAAAAATATTGGAAGTATATTTATTGGGTTTCTCTACCACCTCTAATCTCACCGTAGGATAGAGAAGATAATTTTGCATGAGGAGTCCCAAACTAATTATAAATTAGTCAACCACTTTTACACTTTTTTTTCTCTTATATATTTGTATTGGCGGATCAATAGACGTGCATATATTTTCGTGTGATTGGATATGTTGACATTTAAATTGGATCCAGGCTAATTTAAATAGACATAGGACAGTTTTGACATAATTTAAGAAAACATAATAATAGTACCGCATTGATCTTTCATGCGATAAGATCTGCACGGGGAAGCTGGAGATGGCCCACGCCGCCCTGCGCCCAGCGAGCGGCGCCACATCGACGCCGGCGCCCAGCACGCGAATTTCCGGCCGGAAGAAGGGGAACACCGGGGGCGCCGCCAAGCACAAGCAAAGAGTTAAGGGTGGTCTTCAAGAGAGCTCTGTATGTACGATCTCCATAATCACACTCGACGTTCCCAATCTTAGATCGACAAACACCGCCGCAGGACATTTCGCAGCTAAAACTCATGTTTAGTTGTGGAACCTTGTACTTTCATTCTTGGATTTGCTTTCGCTAATACAAGGTCGTCTGACTATGGCCTGTCTAATTGCGGTACGTGCAGCTCCCCAGAAGAGCAGAGATAGAAACTGCTGCCGACCGCATTCATCCTCATCGGCAACCATAAGGCATTCCATATTGATATACATATATACCATGACGATCAAGAAGCAGTGAAGCACGGCACACCAGGAGCAAGATCCCACGGTTGATCTGCTCCCTCAGGCCTAAAATCACAGGTGGTCTGCTGTCCCGCTCCCGCCACCATTCCACGTCACCACGAGATCACAGACGGCGCAGCCAGAAGCGATCTACGGTTCTCCCATGGAGGACACGGGCAGGTCGCTAGCAGCATGGGCGGGCGTCCTCCGGGACTCCATCTTGGCGACCACTTCCGCCACCACCAGCCTCGACAGCAGCAGCCCCCGCGACGAGCGCCGACGCCATCAGCATCGTGAACACGGCGCTCCAGCTCCTGGCGGAGATGTACCCCGTCAGCAGCGGCCCGATGGCGGCGCCGATCGACCCCGTGCCGTCGATGATCGCCGTCACGGTGGCCAGCGCGCGGGAGTTGCCGTTGAGGGAGCTGTGCGTGCCGAGGTCCGCGGACACGGCCGTCGTGATCAGCGCGTAGGGCCCGTTCACCAGCATCCCGGTGACGAACATGAGCGCGATGTTCCACGCCAGGGAGACGTTCCCGTAGATGCGGTAGAAGAAGAGCGCCGGTATCGCGGAGAAGGTGAAGCTCGCGGCCGTCAGCGCCCGGGCGTCCAGGTGGTCGGAGATGTGGCCGGCGAGGATGCCGCCAACAACGCCACCCACGTCGAACAGAGTTGACAGTACCCCGGCTTCCGAGTCTGACAAGTATTGTCCACCGATAGCTGAAAACAGGAACAGGCAGAGTGTTGATGTTAGTGTAAAAAAAAAGTTCTTAGAACCTGCAATTCAATGCAGTAAAAAGGTATAAAACCTTTTAATTTTTGTATGGTTTATGCATCTATGGCATGATGCTGAGTTATTTCAGAATTAATCAATAGACTCTTTATCTTTCATAGCCTAAAAACTACTTTTACTATACACATTGAAACACAGAAGTCAAATTATTCACGCAGCAGCATATTGCCACACACTGGCCAGTAACACTCACATCATCATGTGCCTGCTTTCTTTCATGGTTTGTTTCAATCAAATACCTAAAAGTACTTAAGCAGAGTGAGAAATCAGAAACATGCCAAGAATTACTTTTCCCCCCTGTACTAGCAAGTCAAAAAGCACCTTGGTTGCAGAGTGCATTTCAGTGGAACCCAGTGCAACTGAAATGCTATGATGTTTAGAAAAGTCAGCTCCAATTCTAGGGAGTGCTTGTCAACATATATAAAGGGTCAGAAAGTTTGATTTGCACATCACAAAGGGCTTACAATTTCACTTGCTAATTTGCTTCGACACTAGTATATAATATCTCAAGCACTCATTCTAACTAGTGACGTGCGTCATATCATAAGGTTTGTAACAACACCAAAACATGCTTTCTGATTATCACAGTGTGCAATAAGGGTTCATTTCCTAAAAGCCAAAAAAAGAGAGGCTGTGGTAACTGCAAAAATATAACTTGACATACCTGTGTGGCTGATATAAAAGGGAAGCCAATACAGGAACGTATAGGCCACAAGCTTGCAGAAGAAAAGGCAGAGGGCAAAAGGAGCTACACCAGGAATTCTCCACGCCTCAATAAATCCAACCGCCTTTTCTTTTACATCTGATGAGCGTCGTTCCAACAAGGGAGTGTCCATGTCACTCTTTTCATAATCCTTCAAATGGAGATCCTCCTGGATTCCAATCACATCAGGCCCAACAGGCAAGAAGAGGAACACCGTGAGCCCGACCAGTGCGATCATGATACCGGGCACCGCAAAGGACCAGCACCACCCATACTTCAGCATGGCAGCAGCAATCAGAGAGCCAGATATGTTTCCTACGGATGTGTGAGCATTCCATATTCCCATTATCAGTCCCTCTTGCTCTTCCCAAACCAGTTGCCAACTACTGCAACCACTGAAGGCCATCCAGATGACTGAAACAGACCAGAAATCATCTGCATGCCCAGAAAGTAGTAGAAGTTGTGTACATCGAACCAGTAGCCGGCTCCAAAGGCGGCGGTGAACAATCCAGTTCCTATCATTCCTATAGTCAGCAGGATCCTCAGATCCACCCTATCGCCCAAATGGCCAGCAAAGAACATGCCAATTGCATATACACCAAGAAAAGCCAAGTCAATCTCGCCAAGCAATGCAGTGCCGTCTTCAGCGTTGAACGGAGCCCAACCGCTGGAGAGAGTTGTATTATTGCTCTCTGCACCTTTCAAGTTTTGAAGATAGAGATGACTGGGCCAATGCAACGTACCCAGGTTTGTCTTAGGATCGAGAACACTCTTGACAATGCTTGTAGTTTTTCTAGTGGCATGGTAGCTGGCGTATGATAAGAACGTCAGTGCTAGTACAAGAGCCTGGCATGATCTAAAGGAGATGGGACTCCCCCGGACACACTCAAAAAGTTGAATTCCCAAGGGCTTTCTGCTACACATTTTATTTTTCTGATGACTTGAGGAGCCCATGAATGAATCTGAACTGATTTTTCCTGCAAAGATAGCTCAAGCCAGGAATATGAAATTGCCTTAACGGTGTTGGTCGTGCCTGAAAAGGTCAAATAGAACCGACATCAGAACCATCCACAAGACCATATATACGAGCTGACAATTTCGTTTTGTAATACTAAGTATAATCCCATGACAATAAGGAAAATAAGCTGGTTATCGTTTTGTCACCAAATGATAGCGTAGCTACTTCAATTTTAACATGTTAGGTGGGATGTTATGGCATCGATAATGAGCTGTAAACTATTATTGCGGAACAGCTCTAAATTATCAATTTAGTTAATTCAACAGCACTTGACATCAGCATAAGCATACGCATACTTCAAAATAGACATACTCCCACCAGATATAATAAGTATATAAAGCAACCAAACATCCATAGTTTTGCGATGTATATCTAAATACTTATCTGTACATAACTTGGCAGTATTAAACTCCTTTGATAGACAGCAGAAACTGAATGTAAATCGGGGAAAGTATGTCAACAACAAGGGCAAAACTTATGTCAAACATCTACGGAGTACATGAACATCAAAGGCAACACTGCGATTTAATCCGGTTTGCTCCGTATAACCAATCGCCAAACAAAAGGGAAAGGAACGTGCTTTTCACAATTGATTAAACGAATAGCTGGTGGCTGAACTCAATGGGAAGAAAAGGCAAGGAACACTCGTTCAGATATCCAACTCAGGGAGGGAAAAGAAGCATCAAAGCCTTCAAAGGCGAGCTGGGAGGTACGGAAAGCAACACACCAACGGATCGCGCTCTTCATCAGGGAAGAAAGAAGAATAGAAATGGTTGGGATACAAAGGAAATCAAATCAGGCTGCTGCCAACTAGCGAGGAAAGAAAACCGGCGATCCGTTACTAGTGCTCATCATCTCCGGTAACTGAAAGCATGCTCAGGTAATTAAAGGAACGGAGGAAGAGGAAGCACCTTGAAGCTAGGAGAAGTGCCAGCCGCCACTGTCCTTGAAGTTTTTCCAAGGGAACGGCAGAGCTGTTTCTGGCTGCGCGGACCGTGAGGGGAGGCGGAGGTCAGCTTTCTGGGGCGCGGCCTCGCCCGTGGCTCTGTGGCTTCCGAGGAGTTCCGTGTCTTATAGGGAAGAGAAATTCACAACAGCCTTTTTGCCTGGCCGTGATGACCTGGGGCCCCGTTTACCTCGTCTGTGGTTCAGGTCGTTCCCTCGGTGAGGTCACACCCACGATTGTTTTATTTGTTTATTATTACTCTACCATGGTCTTCTTCTTGTGTTAAGAGCTTTTTTTACCCAAGATTATCCAACTTTTTTATATCACCAGCTCTGCAAACCTCTGTAAACAAAGGTACCCAATAGGATTCTTGTACGTTTAGTTTACTGACCGTCTACACCCAAGTAGTTTTCTGTTATTATGAGCCTACGGTGGTATGTCAGCAGGTAACAACTAGTAGTAACCTGCACTGTTGTATGAATTCTGTTATGAGCCTACGGTGGTAGGTCAACAGGTAACAAGTACTAGTAGGCAGTAGCCTGCACTGTTGTATGAACTCTAGTCGGTGCTTGGCGTGAGGCGATCAAGCAAAGGAGGCTCCTGCTTGCTCTTTAGGCACACCGGTTGGTGATCACACGCACCCTAATTTGCCCATCCGGCAGATTTTGCTGGCGACCAGTTGAAAGCTACGGACAGAATATAGCGAGTGGATATTCTCCTGGGGACGGATATTCCCAGCGGCCAGCGCTAAACGCCTCCCTAACCGGATCTTCTGGTTATAAGCCCCACAACTGTAGGGCACTAGCAAGGGCCCTCGCAAACACGATGCGGCTCGGGCGCATGCATGTGCCGTTTATTCTATGGTCCAATTGCAGCTACCAACCCGATAGATGATATCTACTAGGTCGAACGCAGGCAATAATAATTCGAGTAGTAAATAGGTTTCATCCAATCCATGTGCCCATGTGGTATCAGGAAACATGGCAAAAAAAAAAACACGAACCTTGCCGGCCGAGGATCATCTCTGCATGGTCGACGACGTGAATTGCTCGACAGTCGTTGATGCGCGGAAGCCGTGGCGACGTGCCTGCACATGATGGGATAGATGCAGATTGAAGAGAGAATCGAGCGAGGAACGCGTGAGCGTGTAATCGCAATTCGCAAGCATCGTCCAAGCGTGTAATCGGTGGCGTGAGATGAACAGACTACATACAGAGAGAAAAGCTACCTTGGTCCGTCGTCGAATGGAGGGGTCACGGAGGAGCGCCATTGCTGGGGAGAGAATAGTAAACGGCCAAGTAAACAGAAGAGGAAAGAGCAGCTTTTGCCTATTTATGTGTACGGACAGGCGAGAGATAGTACTCACGGCTATTGTCGGTTGATTACATTTATTCACTGTATCGTATAAATAAAAGAACTTCGGTTTTATTTACGGGAATGCTTCGAACCGGTCTGAGCCCAGACGCTCTGAGCCAAGACGCCAGTCGATAATCCACGCTCCTTCGTTTCTAAAAAAAAAAAATTACTCATCTACTTATTCCTATCCACTTATTCCTCTTCCTATCGCATTTATTTGCTTGCCCACCGTCTCCAAGCGCATGGCCGCTAAACTTGCCAGGCACGGCGCTTGGCTGCCTCCGAGTCGTGGCGCTTGGCTGCCAGCCCTGCCAGACACGGTGCCTTGCTGCCCTCTCCAAATTGTGCAGCCGCGGCCTCCTCGCCGCTCGTGCAGTCGATGCCTTCCTTCCATGACGTGCAGCCACCCGCCGGCCCACCGCCTACAATCGCCGCCAGGCCGCTGCAGTGAACACCACACACCGACCAGCCTCCGTTCTGCCAAACAGCAAGGGGATGTTACGTTGAAAGCGCATGTTGCAAGAGTATGTTTCAATTGTTTCAAAGGTATGTTGCAAGTGTTTCATATGGATGTTAAAAAAATAGATCGTGATGTTGCACATGTTGCAATTGTTGTATAAATACGTTGCAAGCGTCCGTTCAAATGTTTCATCTGCTTTTTTTAGACGTATGTTTCAAGTGTGCTTATTTGGATGTTGCATATGTTTCACACATATGTTGCAAGAGTATGTTCAAAATGTTTCAGCTGTTTCAGTCTTATGTTGCAATAAGTGTGTTCATGTTGCAATTTGCAAGTGTTTTATCTGGACGTTGCATATGTTTCACACACATATTGCAAGTGTATGTTTCAATGTTTCATTTGCTTTAGACTTCTGTTGCATTCAAATGTTTCATGTTGTAAGTGTTTCGTGTTTCAGATGAATGTTCAGAGAGTCATGGGCCACGGCCCGGGCTCTGGGGGAAGGGGCATGGCGAGCCAAGGGCCGGTGGATGGGACGCGCGACGGGGCATGCTCGTCCTTATCCCGGCTCCCGGGTCCCGCCTACGTGGAGAGAGAGAGAGAGGAGTGTGTCAGGGGGAAGGAGCGGCGGGAGCGGGGCGTGGCGAGATGGACGTGGACGGGGTACGCATGCGTGGTGGGATAAGGCAGACGAGGAAGAATTGCAGTGATACGGTGGAAGTGTAGCGCTTTCTACTGGGTTGTTAGGTACCGTCCAATGAAATCCTATCCATCGGATATCCGGGCACCACCCATTCCCATTTACGGTAATGCTCACAACCTCACACAGCTGATAAACCTTTTTGCTATACAGCTTCAGATAAAAGAACTTTATAAAAAACAAATGTGGAACATTATATGCTGGGATAATATAAGGGCTCTGAAGCTTATCCGGAAAACCCCCAAAACGTGGTGGCTTATATTATCATGGCACGACGTCCTAAGTCGCCGCTCCGGACTATTCTACGGCTGGCCGGCTACGCTCCAACTTTTGCAATGAAATGGACGATCGACCCTGCCGGACTGTTGAATCAATCATCCACCGCGCCTTGTTGAGGCGACGGCAGAGGCGAAGCGCGAGGTGGCACGGCCACACAACGACGCGCGGACGACGCGACGTCCAGTCCTAGTACGTGCAATACCTCCTGGCCGTACTGCCTCCGCGTCCGTGGCCACAAGTTTTCTAGCAGGCGTTTCGTGGGCGCACGTTTCGTTCGTGAACGACCGTGGCGCGGAGACCGACCGGGGCCCCCGCCGCGCGGACGACGGGGCCGGCAAAACAACTCTTGGACGAGAGAGCGCGCGCGTACAGGGATCGACGTCGTGACGAGGCCGGGCGGGAGCGGCGCGCCTTTATCCGGGCGCCTGGAAGGAAATAGCTCGGCCGGCTGGTGGCGTATCTGTTTTTCTCTTGGCGGGGGACGAAAGAACGACGGATCGGCGAATCCCCGGCCGGCTAGCTAGTGGCGGACGCGGCCGGCGCCGTCGCGGTCTCAGCTTTGACGGTCTCGCCAGGCAGGCAGGAAGGCGAGAGGTGCATGGGGCTGGCACGATAAGGAGATGGCCTTTTTATCTCTCCCGAACGGAGACGATAATGATACGGACCTATATACACACATAGGCTGAATTTCGAACGATTCCTACACGATGGCGAGGCACCGCCGCACAGGCGATGCTGCAGAATTTCATGAGCTACCGGATAGCTAGCTGATCGAGGTGTTCTTTTTTTCGGTGGAGATAATTGGCGCCTCGGTCTTTGCAATTAGCAAGAGGGAAACCAGAATGGTACGATCGAAGGAGATAACTGTGGACGCAAGAGGAAAATCAAGAACGGTACGATATCGAATCGAAGGAGATAAATGGATTCGCCGATTATTAGGACCTAAACCTTACAACAATCAGCTATGTGCATACTTAGAACTTGTTTGGTAGATACGAGTTCATCCGAACAAGGCCTTAACACTGAATTTGTCAAATCTAAAGT